AGCGTGAGTACTCAAAAGGTTGCGCAAACTCCGGTTTACGACCGTCATCAGAGATGTTGGCATTTGTTAGCCTTAGGGTCTTCTGTCCTGTCTGCGTCCCGGCTCCAGCTCCTTTTTTATAACAAGATGTCCGACTACGCCTTTGACTGGGCCGCGTCCTGACGGTGTTTGTGGACATTTTTGAAGCAGATCTGTCAAAGATTGTTGAGCTCCTCGAGTCGTTGTCTTTTGCCTCTGACTTCTTCTTCTTGCAGTAGCCTTTACCGCAGCAGCCTTTGCCACCCTCCTGCTCGTCATCAGCATAACTGCTGCGTCCTGATAGCTTGCTGGGGCGGCTGCTCACAGAAGCCATAGATAGAGACCTAGAAGTTGCAGCTGCAGCTGGCACGTCGGATCTGAAGGTGGCGGGAGAAGCTGATGATTTTGTCCCTTCACTTTGTTCTTTGGCGCCAGCAGCTGCCTTCGCTGTTGATACAGTAACAGAACTCATTTGCTCTCCGTGGAACTGGATTTCAATTGTGTGAGTAGGAGCACCGGTTGCACGCCTACACTGTTCCGTTAAATCAGATGATGCCATATTGACAATCGGCTTGGTTGAAGGCCCTTTCGGTGGTTCCACGCTAATGGCACTCGTTCCTTGGTCTGGACGCTGGACATCCACTATGTGACTTGGGCGCTCCCTCGTAACACCTGTCATCACTTTCGACGAAGTTGCCATTTGTGCAGGGGGAGGAGGAGTAGGTGTATGTGTAGTCTGGTTCATGGTTAATTGACCAGACTGTGGGTGCATAAAGGCCATGCCGTGAATCGGACACATACTGCAATAACAATGCATACCTACTGGCATTTGGCCATTGGGGGCTGGGTAGGCTAGAGGTGGTCCGTTATTTGGGCTCGGTGGGATATGGGCGGGCGTGGCTGGCGCGGAGACTGGTGCTCGAGGTCTAGTCGTCACTGGGGGTGCAGGCCCAGCCGAAGACGGTGTACCTGTGCCGCCTGGTTTGAAATCCGGACCGCCAATTGTTTTTCGTCTTGGCTTTTGCTCC